TTTCTGCTTCTTTCTACTTCTCGTCTTTTAACACATGAAATTTGCCTAAACTGGTAGCTTCGCATTCCATACAACCCCTAGATTCAAACGATTTTGATATTTTTTTCAATAAACAAATCGCAATATAAAAGCTGTGGGATTTAAAGAGATTCACTAGATATTATAAAAGTACAGCATGAAAGCTTCAAGTTACTTGGTGTACTTGTTCAAATTTCTTAAAAGGTTAGATTACCCAAGCTTCCAAAAAAAGTATTGTAAAATGTATAAATCTTTTCTTTAACAATTGTATAACAATCAGATCATTATTTCCTAATTTGAAACAGTCTCCCCTGGAGCAAAAATTTCGAGTGAAGTTCTACGAATTTCTGAAGATATAATTCTACACATAATTTCATTTGTTAGCTCTGTATACCGAACCACAAAAAATTGTAACGTAAAAATTGAAACGAACCTATTTTTTTACAAAAAAACAAGAATAACTCTAAATTTTAATTTGGAAATCACCTTTTGCAGCCTAATTAAAAATGTTCCTTGTGATATTTTACTAATAAGCATTATATTCAGGAAAAAGTTTGGCAGTGATTTTAGAATAAAAATAACATACCTTCATTTTGCGAACACTTTCAACTTTATAACTAACACCGTGATGATTGCCCCATGATCGACTTTGATATTGATTTCGTACAGTTGCCGTGTACTGAACCAATTTTGGTAAAACCCTGATTGTAACACAAAGATCGTAGTCTGGATAATTAGATGAATTGGGCGGTGGAGGGATGTAAAGTCCTGTGTGAATAAGCACTAATTGAATGCAAAAAAAGGTGTATATATATATATATATATATATTGCATCAAAAATTAATTAACTTTGTTGATTATAGGTACAGAAAACTTATTACCTGCAATAATATCTGAATCATCTGTGTAAACATCTGTACCCCATAGAAATTGGCTTCTAACTTTATTGTTTTTCCACGTTAAATGTTTAGAGGAAACCCATATTTCTAATAAACCATTTTCATGAAATTCTAAGGGCGGTAAAATTTCTTTCGGATTGTATATTATATGTCCTATGTTTTAGGAAAGGAAGATAATAAGTTGAATCATGCATATT